ATTTACATTATATAAAATAGGATATTATAATGTACTTGAAATATATTAATCGTATTTTATTTTTATAAGTTATAAACATAAAAAAATTAGCAGTCCCAATTAAGTATAGATGGAGAATTTTTTTTCTACTTTATATTCAAAAAGAGGGAGAATTTATACTATTTGCTTACTTATTTATTTGTAAGTAATATATATTAATTTACAACAAATTCAATATTTATTAGTTAATAATTTATGCATTGTGATCTCTACATAATTAAATAATATATGCATAACTAAACCCTGCATAATTAAACCCTACATAACTAATACCTGCATAACTAAACCCTACATAACTAATACCTGCATAACTAAACCCTACATAACTAATACCTGCATAACTAAACCCTACATAACTAATACCTGCATAACTAAACCCTACATAACTAATACCTGCATAACTAAACCCTACATAACTAATACCTGCATAACTAAACCCTACATAACTAATACCTGCATAACTAAACCCTACATAACTAATACCTGCATAACTAAACCCTACATAACTAATACCTGCATAACTCTAACCAGTAACCAAATGGTTTGTTGTTTTTATTTCTTTTTATATATAGATCATTTTCATTTATTTTATTTTATTTAATTGGAAACTTTACTGTTTTCCTATCTACGCTTGTTATTTTAATTTCTTTTTATATATAGACTATTTTTATTTTAAAAAAAATATATTTACTGTTTTTATTTATTTATGCAAATATAAATATTTTTTTAATATTAGAGATTTGATTGTATATTTTTTTACGGTACATATGCTAATCAAATATTAGCATTATGCTGGAGTTGTTCTATCAGTTTAGGATTTTTTTTGTTTTCCAAATTAGATTTATTTTCAAGTTGTTTTTGTTTTGTCTATTTTGTTGCCGACTTGGTCACTCTTGGACCTTGTTTGGACACATTTTTATTTGATGAATAAATGGACATGGTCCAATGTTGATTAAAAAAATAAAATATTAGCATTGTATATTATTCAATATATTCCACATTTTATTAACATGTATTATTATTTGTAAATAATATATATTAATAATTTACTACAAGTTTAATATAATAGTTAATAATTCATGTATTGTAATCTCTACATAACTAATATCCACATAGCTAATACCCGCATAATTAAACCCTGCATAACTAATACCTGCATAACTAAACCCTGCATAACTAAACCTTGCATAATTAATACCTGCATAACTAAACCCTGCATAACAACTAATACCTGCATAACTCTAACCAGTAACTAAACGGCTCCTAAGATACGGATTGTATTTAAGAGTGGAAAATAGTGGATCAGATTGGATATGGGTGGATCGAAAATAATTAAATAAAAATAGATAAAATACTTGATTTGTTTATATTTAACATGAATAAAAAATGAATTATTCAATAGATAATACGAATGTGTGTTATTCCTGACAACGGTAATTCAGATTGTCTTAATCGTTCAACTTATAAGTATACTTACCTAATGTTATTTCCTAGATATTTATATTATTATCAAAGAATGTCATGTAGACCATTTGAATTTTAGATCATCACTGTCTACTTATTAAAGGGCATTCATGAGAAAACAAGAAGATACATAACATATCTCATGAACAATTCCAATTAAAGGAACACATAGTGCTCAGACAACCTACAATCTAATTGTATTTTAAGGACAAAAAATGAGTTTTTCTTAGCTTCTTTCTTCGTACTCAACATTCTAAAATTGTTTGGTCTTTAAATTAAATTACTGGCATGACATGTGCACTTAAATCTTAAATTACTATTGAGATGTCTTTTTCATAACTGCCCAAATTTAATAAATGCATTTAATAAATGATATTTTAGTAAAATATCCACTTTATTATTGTTAAAATTGCTTTTCAAGTAATTGATAACACTTGCTCCGTTCCTTTTTATGAGTCTCTTAGCAAATCAGAATTTTAATCTGCTAATATTATTTTTATCATTAACTAACTATATAAAGTATTAATTGTCAATTTTAGATTTCAAATCATAACTAATAAAATTGACCCCTCTTATAAATACTTTTTAAAGAGAAGTGTTAGGTATCCAAGTAAAAAAGACCATAACATAAACAAATTTGCATTGAAGTGTGCACGCGCCATGTAGCAGTATGCTTTAATATTAATTAATGTTTACAATAAATGACTTGCACAGAATATTTGTAATTTTACATTCCCTTTGAGAGAATAATGTAGCAACAAATTATGTGAGAGTGAAAGGAACCCACTTATTCACGATCATTGATATGATTTTAGAAAGTCTATTATTAAGAAATTATATATATTTTGCAATAGAATATAATTAGGTAGTATTGATTATATATGCATAGCTGAATTTCCTTCTAATTGACATGTTATATTATTGATTATGCATAGCTGAAGACTAGACTAGGATACTAGCTAGGTGACAGATCAACGTCTATCTCTATTTTCACTCCATTGATAAAATTATCATATGACCGATCATTATAGATTAAAGAAAAATATAATTCCAAATTTAGGATTCAAATAAGAAAACACTTAATTAGTCGTTTGAATAAGAATATAATTACCTCTATGGAGTATTATTTTTCTTTATAAATAGAGGTAAAATCATAGTTGTCCTTCACACCTAAGCATTTCCCTCTCTAAATCCTTCTTTCAATATCATCAGCCCTTTCAAGAAGAACAAGTTTCTTGCTGCAGTTAACATGTAATCCTAATTATCTCAAGCTAAGCTTCTTTTTTTTAATTATATCTGTTTCTTTTTGTTTCATTTATAATTATCAATTGTGTAAAACCTACAGTTGTTTTTGATTGTTGTAGGACGAAAATATTTCTTTTGGCTTTGCTAGTATTACTTTGTACAACTCATCATGTTGTTGGCGCCGAAGATGATTTGAATGTCAATATAACAATACTTGAAAGTGCAACTGCTCAAGGCGCAGGTTATCAATGTCTAAATATATATCCTTAATTCCTCAAAGAAAACAAATCAGATGAGTAATATTTACTAGTATTTGTTTTGTGTACAGTATGCCTGGATGGAAGTCCACCAGCATATCATCTTCACAGAGGACATGGTACCGGACTTGACAATTGGATTATCTACTTGGATGTTAGTTACTTATAATTGTTTAACTAATTCTTCTTTTTAATTCATTTTCATATTTAAGATGTCGGATTAACTTTGGAGAAATATATAATTCATATTTATAGGGCGGTGGTTGGTGCGAGAGTATCCCAGAATGTCTTTATCGTACAACTACGTACCTAGGTTCTACCAAGAAGATGGGTCAACAAGCTTTTTTCTCCGGAATACTTCATAATACTTCCAAACAAAATCCAGGTGATCGATGAACCTCATATATATTTTATTATTTTTACTTTTTTCTGTTGTGTGCATATGTAAATTTCTTCTAACTGCAAACAATATGTTGGAATTTGGTAGAGTTTCACAATTGGAACAGGGTGAGGGTGAAGTATTGTGATGGTTCCTCTTTCACCGGTGATGTTGAACAAGTTCACCCGGTAAGATATATATATATATATATTATTATTATTAATTTCGTAACGTTTTCTGATTAAATTTGCTAAATAATGTACATTAGGAGAACAAGTTATATTTTAGAGGGGCTAGAATATTTAAGGCTATTATGGAAGATTTAAGCAGCAAAGGAATGAAAAATGCAGAAAATGTAAGAATAATATCTCCTATTCAATTCACTCTCTACCTTTTTCGACTATCTATATCTTCTTCTTTGAAAAAAATAAAAAAAAGTTCCTACTTGACTAAATCTTGACTGTTAAAATGTTGTCAGGCCATTCTGTCAGGAACATCAGCAGGGGGATTGGCAACCATTTTGAACTGTGACAAGTTCAAATGCCTCCTTCCGGAGAATGCAAGAGTTAAGTGTGTCGCAGACGCTAGTTTCTTCATCAATGGGTCAGCACACACACTCTTCTTATAATATGTGATCTCAAGAAAATGATACTCTAATTCTTCTGTTAACGATTTGACATTTCACAATTTATTCAGCAAGTCAATCTATGGTACTTCATTTACTCAAGAGATGTATCAAAACATTGTTAACCTACATGTGAGTCACTTCTTCTTTTGTTTTAGTAATTTTGGTATATGCTTAAGAAGTTGAATCTTTTCCTCTTTCATTCTCAGGAATCAGCTAAAAATCTGCCGCCAGCTTGCACGTCTGCAATGGAACCAAGTTTGGTAATTGGAGTTTAAGCTTTCGAAATAAAAACAACTTCTCTAATTATATGCTATATTAATACAAATCTTTCCCTCTAATGATAATTACATTACTTTTACTTAATTTTATATGTTACAGTGCTTTTTCCCCGAGAATGTTATGCCATATGTTCAGACTCCACTCTTCATTATCAACTCAATTTATGACTCCTGGCAGGTCAACGAGACTACTAATTTCTCTCTTATTCATTTTTTTTCTTTCTTTCTTTAGCTTTTACAAATTTACAAGAAATTGATTATTCTGTACACTCTAATTTACTCCAGATCAATAATACTTTGGTCCCTCCGTACCTTGATAAACAACATGCTTGGAAGGCTTGCATCAAGAGCATAAGTAGTTGTACATCTAGCCAACTTATAATTATCCAAGGTTAACATTTTTCTGCTTATTAACTAATGTATTCGACGTTACACATGTATAATGGTTCTTCTTCTTCTCCTTATGTTTTTCTTTAATTTTTGTTTAATACAGCCTTTGGAGTGGAGTTCTCGAAGACATTTGAAGGACTACCCCCTTGTTCCACGAGGGGTTATTTCCTCACATCTTGCTATTCTCATGGGGGAATTCGCTTAACGCCATACTGGCTCAAGACTAGCTCTCTGACCTTATTTAATAAGGTAATGTTTGTTTGTTTGTATACACAATTTTATCATAGTTAGTTTTGATGAGTCATAACAAATTTTAATTTGTTGCAACATTTTGTGTGTATAGACAATTGCGGAAGCTGTTGCGGATTGGTACTTTGAGAGAGAAGGAATTCAATATACAGACCCTTACCCTTGTGTCAGAAATTGCACTCAATAAAATTCTATAACGAATACGCTTGCAGATGTTGTACCTGTTGCTTATTCAATGATATATAGCTAACTGTACGTTGGAGCAAAGAAAGTTTTTACGTTTTACATTTCATTTGTACTTTGAGTTACAAGGATTTTAATACATAGACTAGCCTTATGCTAGAGATTGCAAGTTAAGACAGTGAAATCCTATATTTTATGTTTTACACTTTGGTCTTAATAGATTTGTAATAGATAAGTTTCTAATATATTTCAATTTAGTCTTGTCTTGACAAGTGTGTACTATCTTTTATTATTTCCCTTATTATTGTGAATTAAAAATCTTTAATTATCCTCCTCTCTAAGAGCTCTCTACTTTCCCCTTTCTCATTTTTTCCTTCTATCAGTCTCTATCCCACATAGACCCGCTCTACACAAATCTGTGTGCATAACATTTTTTAAAGGTCTTTTTCTTTTTAACTTAATTGAATACTAAAAATGAAATTAATAAAATTTAGATTGTCTGATTAAAAAAAAATAAGACGTGAAACTTGAAGTGGAAAAATTATTGACTATGAAAACTAAAGGGACTCTAACTGGATATTTCCCAAATAAAAATCTCCGCTCTCATTCAAGGCCCCATGACTAAAGATGATAGTCACTTTTACTATAATGACTCTTGGCATTTAGACAACTGCTCCTTCGACTTTCCGGTGGAAATTCACTATCTAATTCGCACTTCTGTTGCACCTCATAATCTTAGGTGCTATATTGCTAGTCATTTATGGAGCGACCTTCATATCCAGTTCCCTGAAGATGCCCCAAACTGGCTCAATTAGATTAGAAACTACAATTACACCTTTCCCTTTGTTTTGTGGCATATCTGGCTCAATCGAAATCACAACGTCCATAACAACTATGCCAGGAAATTGGGAAAGCCCACAACTTTAGAGAAGGAAACAAAGTGGCTCACCTGTTAGCATCTGAAGGACCTACGAGAGCCACTACAACTGTAGGAAACTTTTTGGAGGCTGCTCCCCCTTGGACTGGAGAAATTATGGAGCAAGACAAATTAGGAATATCTACTACTAGAAGGGTTAATCTTTTTTCCTGTAATTATCTAGCCAAACTTGGCAATCTTAGTATCCTTAACTCAAATGTTCTAACGAACAATCCCATGGTAATAGAAGCTACAACTACTGATGCTAGTAGAATGGGGATCTCAGTAAATGGGACTGATTCTACAGAAAGACCAAACAGAAAAAAGTAGGTGGTGGTAGGGGAATGATAGTAGTTTTTATTAAATTCACATTGTGTTCCTATTTTTATTCTCTTATGTTGTCTTTGTCCATTATTAAAAACCTTGTAGATATCCAAATTGTCGAACGATTATGTGTTAGAGATCTTAAACTTAAGCAGTTACAGAATTTGTAGAAGTGAAATAAGGCACGTCCGCAACCCACCCCGCCTCACATCAATTTTGGAATACACTATTTCAATCCGTCCCATACCTGCATAGCAAAAATCCATGCTGCCCTGCATAGCCTAAAATCGGCCCTTTCATTCCTATTCTTATGATTAGTTTAGTAAATTTGATACTTTTGAAACAAGTTATAATGATAACAATAAATCAACGAGAAATTTACAAGATTCAAATACTAATGCATCTTCATGAAAAATCCTTTCATTCTAAATAAGAATGAGAATTTTTCAACTAGACGTGTACAGAGAGCAATTTTTAATTTGCTAAAACACGTGTACAGAACTACCAATAGGTAGTTTAACCAAAAAAAAAAAGTGAAATGGTTAGTCTAACAACTAGTCTGAGTAGGTGAGAAATACGAATTTCTCTTTAACACTTTCTTTTTTCTTTTCATCAGAGTTATTTCATAAAGACTTGTCAAGATAAGAAACAAGAGGAGGGGGAGGGAGAACAAGCACACTTGGTGGAGAGTCTAATATTGCGTTCAAGAAGGATGAATCTCTCCCAAAAAGTACTTTATGGACGGTTTCTTTGTGTAGTTGGGTTATCCTGAACTTGAATCAGAGACCATCGGTGCGATGATTTACGGAAAGAAAACTCAATTCAACAACAAACAACATACCCAGTGTAATCCCACAACTGGGGTCTGGACAAGGTAATGTTTATGCAATCCTTACCCCTTCATTGAAAGGCAGAGATGTTGTTTTCCGTAGAGAATCACATCACGAACCACATATTTGTCCAAAAGAGTTCATGCACATATTGTAGATAGGTTTCATTAGAAGTTTGTTAATACACAACACAAAAGAAATTTCCAATCATATTAATATTTCTTGGGATAATGAGAATTGTAATAAATTCTTAGAGGAAATGTTAATACATCAGTTTTCTCCACATGTAGAGTACATGGACTTTGGAGTTCATCTTGAAGCTAAACTGTTTGATCATTTTGAACAAACTATTTCATTGTCAACACTAATCATTTGGTACTAAGGCGTAGTATTGTGGTAAATAAACTATGTTATTCTTAGGGGACGGGTAAGTAATGACATTGCCAAATCTTGTGGTGCTTTTACTTTTGGTACAAGATGTTGCCTTATCTTAGCTATGTAAAAACAAAATACATACTTAAAGGCTCAATAATTTATCTAAATTTATGATAAGAAAACTTAACATGAGATAATTAACAGAAACTGGAAAGTCTTACACCATATTATAAACTTTTTCGTATCTATCCATTTATTAAGTTGGTAACACCATTGCCGGACGTCGACCACTGCACCTTTAATTGATAAAATTTTGCCTCACATAAGTGCACACTAAGAAGTATCAAGCTTCTAACTGTTATGTTGCAGTTGCACATCCATCTTCTAGCAAAGCAGAATATTATAAGAGAGGAATGTATTGAAGCTCGACAAGTAATTCAATATGCATTCGGCTATTAAGGAATTCGGCCAGGATAGAGCTCGGCAGCGGGTAAAATAAGTTTATGCAAACCTTACTCCTACCTCAAAGGTAGAGAGGCTATTTCCCCATAAAACATAAACGATATTAGTATCCATATCAGCATAATAGAGATCAGTTCTCCCATATTGCACCCATTAAACCAAAAACTAGGCACACATAAGGTCTAGAAACATACCTGAATCCTTTCTACCCCAGCAAGAATTATCACGTTTAAATTTAAATTACTTCAGCAGAGCACTAATGATCAGTAAAATAGAAGCAGTTTCACAATAAGGAGTCTTGGCCAGTAGCATTTCTTAAGCAATGAGTATGAAAAATTATCGAACTTCAAAGTCTATCCCTTGTATAATAAGAGGTGTCGTATTTATAGTGAAAAATAAGACCACACCATATTTTATTTAAGGCGAGTTAACAATCAAGACAAATTCAGAAAATCAAAAGGATGTGGAAGTGGGAGGGAAAATAGGATGTAGAGCCGACATACCAGTGCCGCATAATGTGGGTGATTTCTTTCATTTCCGAATTAGCTTTCGAGGATCCTTCAACAGATCCTTAAGCTCCTTCAATATGCGCTTCGACGCCATGAATTAGTTCGTACACCTTCAAATCAAAGCCCTAACCCAAATATAAATTCAATTTTTTCAATCAAAATTCACTAATCCCCAAATTCAAGTAAAGTAGAAAAGGATTACAAACACAAATTAAGGTCGCATAGATAAGAAATTTAAATCATAAGAAATACCTGTTGAAGGAAAATATGTATTGATTGAATTTAGTGAAATTGGAGATTTCCATAACTTGGATTAGGGCTTTGAGACAATACTATACTAGGGAAGAAGAGGAAAATGTTACTCGTAGTCATTTTTTAGAGTGGGGGTCTTTCTAGAATGTCCACCGGAGTCATAGCTTGAGGAAATGACACTTTAATAAGATGGGAAGAAAATTGTTTTGAGCTATTTATTTTAAAACTAATGTAAAATGAACTTATAAAATTATGAGAAATTAGTATTAAAATAATAAATAGTTTGTGATCATGTTGTCACGACTCAGACCGTCGTGATTGACACCCACACTAACACTCCGGTGGGAGAACCAGTACTACAATCCAAACCAAACAACTAACCAAAACTAAGGCATTTAAGTATACGAAAACAGAAATAATAGCTAAAAACTGAAGTTCCCATAAACTTCAACAAAAGATCTAACAACTAACAATGCAGAAGAAATAACCTAGAACCTGAAAGTCAATGTACCAAAACATCTAACAATGAACCAAGTCTAAACAAGAAAGGATACAACCCCAAACTAATGAACTAATCAACCAACTAGATCATAAGTCTAAGTCCGAAAATGGTGGACATAGACGAAAGAGAATCACATGGCAGCTTGGAAGAATCGGCTCACCCTTGAATTCGAACGACGATCACTGATCACCTAAGCGAGGTCTGTCAGTAGCCGCTTGAAGATGCCCTGTACTCAACAAAAATAAAAGCAAGTGCAGTATCAGTACACAACCACAACCACAGTGTACTGGTAGGATCACGGGCTATCCCACTAGTGCAACATAAACAAGTCAAGACAACAATATAATCGCATGCATATATATCAACATATACAACATTATCAACATTTACGAACATCGATCAGTTACACATTTTATATCACATCATTGGTCCTCTCATGGAACCCAAACCCAAACAGTTAGCATATCGGAACGTGATATCCGATCCCATAATTATGCCAGAACGTGGCAACCGATCCTATAGTTATGCCAGAATGTGGCAACCGATCCAAGTTAGTTATGCTGGAACGTGGCAACCGATCCATTCAAAACACCGCAATCACAATCACAAGTATATCATCAAGATCATACATTTAAGTCATGATTTCATGGCAATCATCATTCATCTATCTCATTTACAACAAGTGTGATCAACATTGCAACATTCATACATATACAAGTATCATAATGAAGTAAGAACAAGCATACATCACACAATCATAGAATCACAACTATCACATACCTCGAAACAAGCTTGAAACCCTAAGAAACTTGATCTTTCCCTTTCCGAATTCGTTTCGCTTGTTCTTGGTCTACAAACAATCATAATAACACGGGAATCAATAAACAATCACTAATTACCCGAATTACTAACAATTCTATGAACCCTAGATCAAACCCATGATCCCAATTATCCAAATTAAGGTTGTTTCCACCATATAATCTATAACAAAACCATCCCCAATCAATATTCACCTATTCTATTACGTTCTACAGACCGAAAAATGGATTCGGGGAATGAAAAGCTTACCTTTAACCTCAAGAATGGTGAAAAATGAGTAGGAGTCGCTTGGGATTCGTTCCTTAGCTCTAAAAGTCAAAAAGTGCATAATGAGGTCGTTTAGGGTTTATTAACGACTTTAATTCACGTCGGACCCGCCAGAGCAGCAAAACCCAGAGCCAAAGCGGGTTACGCGAGACAGAGAGCTAATTCAAGAATTCCAAAATTCACATTTCACAACACTCCTCTAACCAATGATGCTCAGAAAATACCCCTTACGCCAAGATTGATTCCGGGAATTCTACTGGCCCGAATTCAATTCTGTAAAGTCGTACAGATTTCTTAACGAGTTATCTAACTACTCATGTAATCAAAATCATAAATGATTCACCCGATTGTTACCAGATTTTCCTACACCTCGATGACTCCGATTTTGTCCAAATCTGGACAAGATTGAGAAAATCCAAATACTATGAAAAAGTTTTCCGGCCCCAAATTTCCCCCGTTGGCATTTCTATAACGACGAAATCCGATCGTTACAATAGATACCAATTTACCCATCACCCGTCCCCGAGTGACAAACTTAGAAAAATATGCTAAGGAAGGGATGACGTAGTATATGAATCGATGAACAATTGGGGATACTTGTCTCGCATGTCCCTCTCGGTTTCCCAAGTAGATTCCTCAACTGGACGATGCTTCCATTGAACTTTCACGGACTTAATCTCCTTGGTCCTCAACTTGCGCACATCACGATCAAGAATTGTAATCGGTTCCTCATCATAATGGAGGTCCTTGTCTAACACAATTGAGTCACATTTTATGATATAATCCCGTCACCATGATATATCTTCAACATGGACACATGAAATACCGAATGAACTCCCCATAAATTAGGAGGTAAAGCCAATCTATACGTCACCGATCCTACACATTCAAGAATCTCAAATGGACCGATGTATCTAGGACTTAGCTTACCCTTCTTACCAAATCTCATCACCTCTTTCATAGGTGATACCTTAAGAAGAACATTTTCATCGGATTGATACGCTATGTCTCTTACGTTATGATCCGCATACTTCTTTTTGTCTATTCTGGCAGCTAAGAGTTTAGCTTGAATACTCATCACCTTATCTTGAGCATCTTTCACTAAATCTACCCCCAAAGGTTTCACATCGCCAGCTTCAAACCATCTTATGGGTGATTTACATCCCCTCCCATTGAATGCCTCGAATGGTGCCATATCAATGCTAGAGTGATAACTATTGTTATAAGAAAATTCACACCAAGGTAAGAACTTATCCCAATGTCCTCCAAAATCAATTACACATGCCCTCAACATGTCTTCTAATACTTGAATAGTCCTCTCCGATTGCCCATCCGTCTGTGGATGAAAGAATGTACTAAAAGTTAGTTGTGTGCCCAATTCATCATGCAATTTCTTCCAAAACTTGGATGTGAATTAGGTACTACGGTCTGAGATGATAGAGAAGGGCACTCCATGCAACCTCACTATCTCTTTCACATATACTTTAGCCAATTTTTCAGCATTATAATTTATTCTTACCGGAATAAAATGGGTTGACTTAGTCAATCTATCAACCACTACCCAAATAGAATCAAACTTCCCCAAAGTCTTGGGAAGACCAACCACAAAATCCATGGCTATTCTTTCCCACTTCCATTCCGTAATTGACATTCTTTGAAGCAAACCTGCAGGCCTTTGATGTTCATATTTCACTTGTTGACAATTTTACACTTCGCCACAAACTCCACTATGTCTTTCTTTATGCCCGACCACCAATAAATTCGCTTCAAATCGCTATACATCTTGGTCACACCTGAATGATTAGAATATCGCGAACCATGAGACTCCGCCAACAATTTCTCAATCAAGTCATCTACTCTAGGAACACAAATTCTCCCTTTAAAATTAAGCACACCATCCGCATCAAGAATGGTCTTTTGTGCCTTACCAATCGCCGTCTTCTTTCTAAGTTCATCCAAATTCTCATCTTCAAATTGTTTGGCCTTGATCTCTTCAATGAAAGTGGCCCTTATCTCAATACTAGATAGCACCCCACCTCTCTATATGAACTTAGACTCTAAGGTATGAATTTCTTTAGCCAAAGGTCGCTTGGCTACACTTAAGCAAGTTAAACTACCCATACTCACCGCTTTTCGACTCAAAGCGTCTACCACCACTTTAGCCTTGCACAAATGGTATTGAATGGTCACATCATAATCTTTAAGTAACTTCATCCACCTTCGTTGTCTCAAATTCAGATCCTTTTGAGTGAACACATGCTGCAAACTACGATGATCAGTAAACACTTCACACTTAACACCATAAAGGTAATGCCGTCATATCTTAAGATCAAACACTACCACTGCTAATTCTAAATCATGTGTTAGATAATTCCTCTCATGCACCTTCAATTGCCGCGAGGCATAAGCTATAACATTTTTATCCTGCATCAACACAACACCCAAACCAGAATGTGAAGCATCACAATAAACAATAAAATCTTTACCTTCTACCGGTAATGCTAGAATATGTGCGGTGGTCAAGAGAGTCTTGAGCTTTTGAAAGCTCTCCTTACATTTTCAGTCCATTCAAATGGTATCTCTTTTTGGTCAAATTAGTCAAGTGCGTGGCGATAGAAGCAAAGTTCTTCACAAATCGACGATAATAGCTAGCGAGCCCAACAAAACTCCTAACTTCCGTCACCGAGCTAGGCCTAACCCAATTCTTAACCGCCTCAATCTTTTAGGGATCTATCATTACCCCTTCTTTTGAAACTACATGCCCTAAAAAATGCAACCGATTTCAACCAAAATTGACACTTAGAAAATTTAGCACATAACTTTTGTTTTCCAAGAACACCCAAAACACTACGAAGATGGTTGTCATGCTCATCCTCACTTTTCGAATAGACCAAAATATCATCAATAAAGACTATGACGAAAGAATCAAGAAATGGCTTGAACACCTCATTCATTAAACTCATAAAAGTTGTAGGCGCATTGGTCAAACCAAAAGACATAACCAAAAACTCATAGTGCACATAACGAGTTCTAAACGCCGTCTTAGGCACATCCTCAGGCCTAATTTTCAATTGATGGTAACTAGACCTTAGATCAATCTTAGAGAAAACTAATGTACTTTGCAATTAGTCAAAAAGATCATTTATTCGAGGCAAGAAATACTTATTTTGAATAGTGACCCTATTCAATTGTCGATGATCTATACACATTCTAATACTACCATTTTTTTTCTTAACAAACAAAATTGGAGCACCCCATGGGGAAGCACTAGGGCGAATAAATCATTTATCAAGAAGTTCTTGGATTTGAGCCTTAAGCTCTCTTAATTCTGCCGGAGCAATACGATATGGAGGGATAGAAATGGGACGTGTACCAGGCTCTAAATCAATGCAAAAATCTATATCTCTATCCGGAGGCATACCAGACAAATCATTAGGAAACACTCTATAAATTCCAACACCACATAAATAGACTCAATGGATGTGTCACGCCCCAAGCCTATACCCTGGACGTGGTCGGCACTCGGAGACCATCGTTGGCCCCAAGAGGACCCTTGGCCTGGCTTACTT